AGAGTAGAATAAGAAATAATAGAGAATAGAATAAGAAATAATAGAGAATAGAATAGAATAGAATAAGAAATAATACCATAGAGAATAGAATAGAATAGAATAAGAAATAATAGAGAATAGAATAAGAAATAATAGAGAATAGAATAGACTGGAATAGAATAGACTGGAATAGAATAGAATAGAATAGAATAAGGGTGGCTCAGTGGCTAGGACTTGTAGATCAGAAAGGTCAGCAGTTCAGCAGTTTGAATCCCCAGCTCTGCCGCGTTAACGGAGGGAGCTCCCGTGACTTGTCCCAGCTTCTGCCAACCTAGCAGTATGAAAGCAGGTAAAAAATGCAAGGAGAAAAATAGGAACCACTAATTTTGGTGGGAAGGGAACAGCGTTCCGTGCGCCTTTGGCATTGAGTCATGCCGGCCACATGACCACGGAGACGTCTTCGGACAGCGCTGGCTCTTCAGCTTTGAAACGGAGATGAGCAGCGCCCCTTAGAGTCGGGAACGACTGGCATATACATGCGAGGGGAATTTTTACCTTTTACCTTAAACTTAAATTCTAATTGAATCACTGCAACGGAAAAATGTGGTGAGAAGAGCTGAGAATGTCTCTCGTTCGATTTGCTTCTTTGGTGAGCGTTTTGCCCCAAATTAGCAACTCTCCTCTGACTTTAAAATAAAACGGGAATGAAGTGTAAAAGTGATTGATTTTTTTTTCCTGGTCTACTCCAAGTTCTAGCTTAGCTAAACATTCCTGCGCATTCAAGCAGGTTTTTGCTGCTTAATCTCAATATATCTGAGAGCCTCCACAGGGAGCAGATACAGCAGGCAAGAAAGAGCTGGAGTGGATACGGTTTCAGTTTGATTCCTCGGTCCCCCCCTTCTCAAATTTCTCCACGACAAGAAATGCTCCAGGCTCCCCCTGCCAAACGTAAGAAAAGCAGAAAAGAGCCTTTCTCCTCCTGAGCGAGATGAAAACATCGTCCTCTTATTTTTAATTTCTCACCTGGAATTAACCTCCTGCTCAATGAGCCCCCAGCGGGATGGAGCGGCAGAAAAGGCCAATGTAGTTTTAGGCTGGAGCAGCGGAAGTTTGCGTAAATCTTTCTGGTTAATTTTAGGTTGGATTTTACCTCGCCTTGAGGGTTGTGTACACACATGCACACACACGCACAAGAGGGATGGAGGGAGAGGAAGGAAGGAATAATGAAAGAAGGAAGGGAGGGAGGAAGGAGAAAGGAGGGAGGGAGGAATTGAGAGACAGCGGGAAGGAAGGAAGGAAAGAAAGAAGGAGAAGAGAGGGAGTTGAGTTGAGTTGAGTTGAGTTTATTTGATTTCTATGCCGCCCAATCCCGAAGGAGGGAGGAAATGGGAGAAGGAAGGAAGGAGAAGAGAAGGAGGGAGCAAGGGGAAGAAAGGAAATGGGAGAAGGAAGGAAGGAAGAAAAGAAGGGAGAAGAGAGGGAGGGAGGAAGGAAATGGGGAAGGAAGGAAGGAAGGGTTGTATACACACACACACACACACACACACACACACACACACACACTGGAGGTGGAGGAGGGAGAGAGGGAGAGAAAGGAGGGTAGGAGAAGGAAGGAAGGATGTTAATAGGAAGCAAGGGAGGACAAAAAAGAGGAAGAGGAAGGAAAGGAAGGAAGGAAGGAAGAAAGGAAGGAAGGAGGAAGGAGGGAGGGAAATAGAAAGATAGTAATAGAAAAGAAGGAAGGAAGGAGATAGGAAAGAGAGAGGGAGAGAAAAAGAAAGAATGACAGAGAACGTGTAACATTTAGAGCAATTTGAAGGGCTTAACTTTCTGTGTTCTGTTTGGGATATTTCCATTTGGGTTTGGGATACTCTGATTCGTGAGCCGGATGACCTCGAGGGCCCCTTTCAGCTCCAAGGCACGGGGTTAGTGGAAGCAGCATCCGAAGAGGCCAAGGATCCCTCCGGTCAGCTCCGCACATTCGATAAAAACGGAGCAAAATTTAGAATTCTTTCCCTTTTTAAAAAAAAAATGTCAATCCCCAGCTAGCAAGCGTTTGTCTCCTGGAGACCCACATCTTGGCGTCTGACTCAAATGGGGGGGGGTAAGGATGAGTGTTTATAGAGCTTAAAGCAACTGAAGGGTTAACCTCCCCCCCCCCGCGGGGAACNATGACTCAATGCCGATGGCGCATGGAACGTTGTTACCTTCCCACCAAAGGTGGTCCCTATTTTTCTCCTTGCATTTTTACGTGCTTTCGAAAGGCGAGGTTGGCAGAAGCTGGGACAAGTCATGGGAGCTCACTCCGTTACGTGGCGCTAGGAATTCGAACTGCCGACCTTTCTGATCGACAAGCTCAGCGTCTTAGCCACTGGGCCACCACGTCCCTTTTTAATTTTAAAATTAGAGAATTAATTTGAATGATGTTGTAAATGCTGAAAGCTGTGGTCCAGATATTTGTACCCAGGCGACCCAGGGTTTAACAAAAGATGCAATGTTTATATGTTGAAAAATAAAATACTTTTTATATTAAAAAAAAAGAAGAAGATACACCCGGCCAATCTCTCATACTTCTTTTTTATTTCCCCCTCTTGATTTTCGAAAGGCTTTTCTTTTTAAAAAAATGGAAATCAGAGTGGAACAAAACCAAATGCCTTTGAATTTGCAGGGGAGGGAGGTTGAATTCTGGAATTCTCCAGCATACCCAATCCCTTAATCTTCGGTGGAGAACAAACTCTCCCCTTTCCCAGCGCAGGAGACACAAAACGGCCCGAGAAAAAATCAGCCTCGTGCCAGGGCTAAAATTTAACAAAACGGACTCAAAAGGAGAAGCCGCATTGCACATGTTTCTGTTCCTCATTGGGTTCATAAGAGGAAACAACTTAACAAGAGAGGTTTTTTTATTTATTTTTAGGAAAAAGAGTCAGTGTTTTTTCTACTGCTTTCCCTCGTTTCCCCATCCACTGTTATTTTTAGAGTAGCAGCCTGAATTTACGGTTGTTATTTCCCAAGCAGGAATGGGGTGTAAGATTTTTTTATATTGTTGTTATTATTTTTTGCAACCATGTTTCAAGAGACAGTGAGTCCGGTTAGCAGAAAGAGAGAGAGAGAAAGAAAAGTAAAAGAAAGAGAAAGAAGAAAAATGAAGACAGAAACAGATAAAGAAAGAGAGAGAGAGAGAGAAAAGGAAGGGAGGGAGGGAGGAAGAAAGAAAGAAAAAGAAAGAAAGAAAAAAGAAAGAAAGAAAAGGATTTTTCAGCAACGTTAAATGAAAGACAGTAAATTTAATCCTTCTTAGGTTTAGGTATACAAAAAAAAAGCCAGTTTGTGGACAACTTTGGATGAGAGCTTTTCCAATCCCCGCTTGCAAAGGTTCTTGCATGAACCTTTGCAAGAATCCATCCTTGGAGAGCTGAGGAAATTTTTGTTTCAGGGTTATTCCCTTGCAAAAAGGAGGAGGGAGGGTCAAGCCTCCACCCCAGAGCCCATCCTCCTCCTTGGAAGCCATCATCCCATCCCAAGCTCCCAAAGCCCATCCCCTCCTCAAACCCACCCTCCCTCCCAGAGCCCATCATCCCCTATGATATCATCACCCAGAGCCCATCATCCCCTACAATCCCATCCTCCCCTCCCAAAGGCCATCATCCCCTACCATCTCATCCTTCCCTCCCAGAGCCCATCCTCCTCTCCCAGAACCCATCATCTCCTACAATCCCATCCTCCCCTCCCAAAGGCCATCATCCCCTACCATCTCATCCTTCCCTCCCAGAGCCCATCCTCCTCTCCCAGAACCCATCATCTCCTACAATCCCATCCTCCCCTCCCAGAGCCAACCTCCCGCTCACATTTCATCCTCCCCTCCCAGAGCTCATCCTCCACTCCCAGAGTCCATCCTCCTCTCCCAGAGTCCATCATCCCCTATGATCTCATCCTCCTCTCCCAGAGCCCATCATCCCCTATGATCTCATCCTCCCCTCCCAGAGCCCATCATCCCCTACGATCCCATCCTCCCCTCCCAGAGCTCATCCTCCCCTCCCCTCCCCGGGAGCAGCGGAGCCTCCTCCCCTCGAGGTCACGTGGAGCCCGGCGGGGCGGGGCTCCGAACTACGCATCCCAGGCTGCCCCGCGGCGGCCCCGCCCTTTCCCCCTCTCCGCGGCTCCGGAAGTGGCTGAGGGATGGAGCGGCCGGGCGGAAGCGCAGCCGGAAGCGCCCCTCCGCGCTCGGGGGAAGGAGGCGGCTGCCGGGGGGCGTCGGGCTTTGGGGCGGCTCCGGGGAGCGCCATGGCCAAGCAGTACGACGCGGCCGAGTGCCCCTACTGCGACGAGGTCTCCAAGTACGAGAAGCTGGCCAAGATCGGGCAGGGCACCTTCGGGTAAGGCCTCGCCCTCCCACGTGGCTGGCTGGGGGGACTACACAGCCCATCGACCCCTCCCGCTGGGCCCCTCTTGGACTACCGGCCCCCTCCTCCCCGGCCGGACTGCAGACTCCCCACCACCACCTTCTGCCCGGCGCCGCCTGCTCGGCTTCGCGGGGAAGAGGGGGGGAGGCGCACCCCAAGTCCCATGGGGCACAGCCGCCCCGTGGGGGCTCTCCTGCATGGGGCAGGAATGGAGACCCATCGCTCCCGACCGGCCACGAGCGCCCTTCCCACTTGGAGCATGGGCTCCCTCCCTTCCCCCCCATCCGCCTTGGGGAGCCCCTTCCCGCCGTCTTTTGGGGGGTGGGAAAAACGTCCCGGCTCAGGATGATGGGGGTTGTAGTACAGGAAGCTGAAATGAATGGGGAGGGAATTTAGTCGCCCTTTGCCCATTTTCTCCCCCTGTGGTTTGGCACTCTGGCCATCCTTTTCCTCCTTTTAATCCTCCCCCAACACACACACACACACAGACACAAACATAACATATACAGATACAAATACACACAGACACAAACAACACAGAGACACAAACTCACACAGTGACACAAACACACCCAGAGACACAAATACACAGAGAGACACAAACACACAGAGACACAAACACACACAGAGACACAAACAGAGACACAAATACAGAGAGACACAAATACAGACACAAACACACAACCCTGGGTTACAGACCTTAAATGCCGCCTCCTGGCATGGCCTGTAAACAGCAAACAGTAACAGAGTCGGAAGGGACTTTGGAGATCATCTAGTCCAGCCCCCTGCTCCCGCAGGAGACCTGTACTAGGGATTGAACCGCCAAACTGCTGACCTTTCTGATCTGAGCTGCCCTTCGATCTGCCCCTCCCCTTCCCATTTTTCACCCCACCTCGAGCTCCTAAATCTTGGCATGGACGGAGAGGGACTTCACGAGCTCCGCCAGCCGGTCCTCTGTCCTGTCCTCCTGCTTGTGGGCCCAGCAGCCCCCAGGCTTTGCCATCGTTGCTGGTCTCCCAGCAACGGAGATTCCAGAGCAGAGGCTGATGGAACCCGGTGGCTCTTCTCCACCCTCCCGTGTCCCACCAACCTATCGTTCCCGGCGACTCCCGGCCATCGGGGCATGGCAAGGGCACCCTCCAGTTCCACCCCCCACCCGCCCCCTTTGCCTAACCCAGGGGTCGGCAACCTTAAACACTCCAAGAGCCATTGGAACCCGTTTCCCACACCAAAGAAAACACCGGGAGCCACAGAAGCTGACTATTTCCTGAGCGGCCACTAAACTGGCATCTATAGTTGAATTAAAAGTTCTGTTTTCTTCTGGAACTTTTATTTTCTTGGATTTAACCACGGTTGGCCTTCCCGGGGTGTCGAAAAGCTCAATAAATCTCGTGCCAGTGATTGTCGCACATTGGCGGTTGTGTCGCATATATTTGAGCAACAGGGAGCCGCAGCAGAGGGACGAAAGAGCCACGTGCGGCTCCAGAACCGCCGGTTGCCGATCCCTGGCCCTAACCGGCTTCCCCTCTTAACTCCTTCCCTCCTCGGCTTTCTCTGCAGGGAAGTCTTCAAAGCCAAACATCGGCAGACGGGCAAGAAGGTGGCGCTGAAGAAAGTGCTGATGGAGAATGAAAAAGAGGGGGTGAGTGAGAGTCTCGGGGTTCAGACACACTCCATGCCCCCTCCCAAATCTGGGTGGAATAAGCAATGAGAGAAACTGTGAAGGGAAAACTGGGGTGCTTCTTCCAAGAAAGGGGGCAGAGTGGCAGATTTAAGGGCAGAAGCTTTCAGGGAACCTGAAAAAAAAAACAAGCACCAAACTGTTGGCGATGATGCTGTAACCTAGTTTGGTAATGAGATGTCTACCGGAAAGCCACCAAGCTCACAGCCCTTTCTTTTCTCCCTTCTCTTCTAGCCCTTTTTCTTCCTCCTCTTTTCTTTTCCATCCTTCTTCTCCTCTCCACAAACCCCGCTCTTTTAGCCCTTTTCTTTCTCCTCTCTTCTCTTCCATCCTTTTTTCCTTCCCACAAATCCCCGGATGATGTTAGCTAGTTTGGTAATGAAACGCCTGCAAGGAAACCACCAAGCTCACAGCCCTTTCTTTTCTCCCTTCTCTTCTAGCCCTTTTTCTTCCTCCTCTTTTCTTTTCCATCCTTCTTCTCCTCTCCACAAACCCCGCTCTTTTAGCCCTTTTCTTTCTCCTCTCTTCTCTTCCATCCTTTTTTCCTTCCCACAAATCCCCGGATGATGTTAGCTAGTTTGGTAATGAAACGCCTGCAAGGAAACCACCAAGCTCACAGCCCTTTTCTTCCTCTTCTTTCTCCTTCTCCTCTTCCATCTTTTTCCTCCTCTAGCCCTTCCTCCTTTCTCTTTTCTCTTCCATCCTTCTCTTCTCCACAAACCCCACTCTTCTAGCCCAGATGATGTAACCTAGTTTGGCAATGAAATGTCTACAGGAAAACCACCAAGGTCACAACGCTTTTCTTCCTTCTTCCTTCTCATCTTCCATTCTTCTCCTCTTCTAGCCTTTTCCTTCCTCCTCCTCTCTTCTCTTCCATCCTTCTCTCCACAAACCCCACTCTTCTAGCCCAGATGATATAACCTAGTTTGGTAATGAAACATCTTCAAGAAAACCATCAACCTCACAGCCCTTTTCTTCCTCTTCTTCTTCTTCTTCTTCTTCTTCCTTCTCCTCTTCCATCTTTTTCCTCCTCTAGCCCTTCCTCCTTCTCTTTTCTCTTCCATCCTTCTCTCCACAAACCCCACTCTTCCAGCCCAATTGATGCAACACCTAGTTTGGTAACGAAACGTCTTCAAAAAAAAACCCCACCCAGCTCTGTTACTTTGATCTGGCCTGTGCCACTTAGCAGATCTTATCCTTTTTAATTTTGCCACACCTAAAACCTGATTAAACCCCTTAAGCCTGCCTAAATCAACCCCTGTTTTGCAATGGATTCTTTGACGGAGCGTTTCATTGATCAGAAAGGATAGGGGTTAGTGTAGTGTGCGGATTTAATAACATACCAGGAAAATGTGTAAACCTGGTCAGTCGATGTACTATCTCAGATTGCAAGTCTAGTTTTCTTCCCAATCTTTGAGGACGCAGCTGATTACTGTATTTTTTCAGAGTAAAAGACGCACCAAGATTTTGAAGAGGTAATTTTTTAAAAAAAAGATTTT